ACGGGCATATTCCAAGATGACAATGCCAGGATTCATCGGGCTCAAATTGTGAAAGACTGGTTCAGGGAGCATGAGACATCATTTTCACACATGGATTGGCCACCACAGAGTCCAGACCTTAACCCCATTGAGAATCTTTGGGATGTGCTGGAGAAGGCTTTGCGCAGCGGTCAGACTCTACCATCATCAATGCAAGATCTTGGTGAAAAATTAATGCAACATTGGATGGAAATAAATCTTGTGACATTGCAGAAGCTTATCGAAACAATGCCACAGCGAATGCGTGCCGTAATCAAAGCTAAAGGCGGTCCAACGAAATATTAAAGTGTATGACCTTTTTTTTTGGTGGTGACTTTTTTTTTGGCCAGGCAGTGTATAATCATAGAAAATCACAGGACATGTCTGTTCTGATGATACAAGTCAGCAGTGTAAAGCTCAAGCATGTGGGGGCCTCCTTTCATATTTAATAGAGGGGGGGACCGTATCTAAAAGTACAGCTGTCAAGATGCTGTCACGGGCCTTTGCCACCTTGGTCTCCAACAAACTCAGGGAAAACTCTGGAACTCTTTATAGGGAATTGTTTGTGGACTGTTTTTAGGAAACTGTCGATTGTTTTTAGGGAACTGTTTGCAGAATGTTTTTAGGGAACTGTTTGCAGAATGTTTTAGGGAACTGTTTTTAGGGAACTGTTTTTAGGGAACTGTTTGTGGACTATTTTTAGGGAATTGTGTACTGTTTTTAGGGAACTGTTTGTGTACTGTTTTTAGGGAATTGTTTGTGGACTGTTTTTAGGGAACGGTTTGCAGAATGTTATTAGGGAACTGTTTTTCGGACTGTTTTTAGGGAATTGTCTGTTGACTTTTTTACGGAATTGTTTGTGGGCTGTTTTTATGGAATTGTTTGTGGACTGTTTTAGGGAATTGTCTGTTGACTGTTTTTAGGGAACTCTTTGCAGAATGTTTTGAGGGAACTGTTTGTGGACTGGTGTTAGGGAATTGTCTGTTGACTGTTTTTAGGGAACTCTTTGCAGAATGTTTTTAGGGAACTGTTTGTGGACTGTTGTTAGGGAATTGATTGTTAACTGTTTTTAGGGAACTGTTTGTGGACTGTTTTTAGGGAATTGTTTGTTGAATGTTTTTAGGGAATTGTTTGTTGAATGTTTATAGGGAACTGTTTTAGGGAACTGTTTCCAGACTGCTAGGGAATTGTTTGTGGGCTGTTTTAAGTGAACTGTGTGCTGACATGTTAAAGGGAACTGTTTTTAGCAAACTATTTTAGGGAACTGTTTGCAGACTATTTAAATGGACTGTTTGCGGACCGTTTTTAGGGGACTGTTTATAGGGCACTGTTTGTGGACTGTATTCAGGGAATTGTTTGACTGTTTTTGCGGACTGTTTTAAAGGGAACTGTTTGTAGGGAAGTGTTTTTTGCAAACTGTTTTAGAGAACTGTTTGCAGACTGTTTAAAGGGACTGTTTGCTGACCGTTTTTAGGGAACTGATTTTAGGGAACTGTTTGCAGACTGAAGTTTATCTTTACTCATCAGGAACCTGAAGATCGGTTACTTCAGTCAGCATCATGTGGACCAGCTGGACCTGAACGTCTGCTCTGTGGAGCTGCTGCTCAACCGCTTCCCTGGTAAATGTAGCAACCACAACATCAATGACATCACACTGTGGCTGCATCACAGCCTGTGACTCTGCTCTTCGGTCCCTCTGATTGGCCTGTGTCTGTGTGTCGCAGGTCGGACGGAGGAGGAGTACCGCCACCAGCTGGGAGGTTACGGAATCACCGGAGAGCTCGCCACGAGGCCGGTGGCCAGTCTGTCTGGAGGGCAGAAAAGCCGAGTGGCCTTCGCACAGATGACCATGCCATGGTAGTAGAAAGCTCAGGGTCCAGCTGTTACTGATGATGATGATGATGATGATGATGATGTTGTCTTTCTTACCGTCAGTCCAAACTTCTACATCCTGGACGAGCCGACGAACCACCTGGACATGGAGACCATCGAGGCTCTGGCTAAAGCTCTCAACAAGTTCAGAGTGAGTCGGTGACATCATCAGATGTCTAATTGGTCAGAAGGCTCAGGGTCACACCTGACAGGGTAGACGTTCCCTCATTGGTTTTATATACATATATATACATATATATATATATGTATGTATAAATTATGATGTCATACTTGATTTCAAAAGTTAATTTAGTGATTGAATCAAATGTTTGTTTTCATGCCTTTGCGCCGACATCAGTCATGACCAGAGGTGTCCATCCGTCTGTCCGTTGCTTTCATGTGAACATATCTCAATGTATCATGCTGGGAATTTCTTTAAATTTGGCACAAACGTCCAATGAACGTCCAGGATGAAATGATTCGATTTTTGTGGTGAAAGGTCAAGGTCACTGTGACCTTGGGTCCGTTTCATTCTTGTAAACACAGTATGTCAAGAATTGTTAGAGTGAATTTCTTTTAATTTGGCACACACATCCACTTGGACTTTGACTCAACAGTGAACTGATTAGATTCTGGTAGTCAAAGGTTAAGGTCACTGTGACCTTGCATCAGTCTCATCCTTCTCATCGAACGACCTCCTCAGTTGCTCTTCCTGAGGTTTCTACCGTTTTTTTCCCCGTTAAAGGGTTTTTTTGGGGAGTTTTTCCTGATCAGCTGTGAGGGTCATAAGGACAGAGGGATGTCGTATGCTGTAAAGCCCTGTGAGGCAAATTGTGATTTGTGATATTGGGCTTTATAGATAAAATTGATTGATTGATTGATTGATCCTTATTAATGCGAGGGAATTTTTTCAAATTTAGCACAAACATCCTTTGGAATCAGGGATGAGCTGATTAAATTCTGGTGGTCAAGGATAAAAGCTCAAGGTCACTGTGACCTTGCATCCATCTCATTCTCGTGAATGCAGTATCTCCAGCAGCTTGAAGGAATTTCATTAACTTTGACACAAACATCCACTTGGATGCAGGATGCACTGGTTAGATTTTAGTGGTCAAGGCAAGGCAATGTTATTTATATAGCACCATTCATACACAAGGCAATTCAATGTGCTTTACAAGAGAAATACATTAAGATAAAACATTAAAGGAACAATAGATCATTAAAAACAAGAGCTAAAAGCAAGACAATAAATAGTTAAAAACAGTGCAGAAAATGCATTTAAAAAGCAAACATAAAGCAACAGCAGACAAATATAAAAACAATAGCTACAGATTATCCTAACAATAAGTTACATATCTAGTTCACTGGTAAGCTGCAGTAAA